CGAAGTCTAGGACCTGATGGTCCCAGTGCTAAGTTTTACCAAACACAAAAGAAATTAACAATTTACAACTTTTCTCCAAAAACGGAAGAGGAAGACAGGCACTATATGCCTGTAATGACAGCTACTCAGGAAGCTAACACAGGAGGAATGCTTGGACCCAAGAGTCTGACACAAGCCTGGGCTACATAGTGATACTCCATCTCAAAACGAGAAAGACAGAAGAAGGGGGAAGGGACATTTCTTAGTCAGTGAGGCCAGTATTACCTTCATACCAAGCCAGATGAAGATACTGTAAGAAAATAAAATTACAAATCAATATGCTTTATAAATATAGATGTAAAAACCAAATCCAATAGCATGTTAAAAAGATAATGTACCAAAACCAAGTGGGATTTATGCCAGGAATCCAAGGGTGGTGCAACAAAAGAAAATCAATGTACCATCTCATCATTAATAAAATGAAGTAAACCAGGCAAGGTGGCACATGTGTGTAATCCTTGCACAGTGGGAAGCTAAGACAGGAGAGTTGAAAGTTAAAGTCTTGCATGAGCAATTTGGCAAAATTCTGTCTCAAAATAAAAAATATAAGAGGCTGGAATATATATAGTGTAGTGGCACACTATCTACGGGTTTGATCCCCAGTGTCACTATACATAAAATGAAGGAAATAAAAACCATCTGTTCAATTTAGTTGTCATACAAATTATATGGGATAAAATCTAGTTCCAATTTTATAATAAGAAAGTTCTCAAAATAGTGCTGATAGTTGTACAACACAGTGAAGTTAATGTTCCTGGACTGTACATTTAAAAATTACTAAAATAACAAATTGCTACATACATTTCATCAAATTTTTAAAAATTACTTCATACTGTAAAAGAAAAAAAATTATTTCTACTTTGAGATGAAATGTTACAGAAAATTGTAAAAACATTATATTTAGTACACAAGTTCAGCATGATACAAATATATGAAAATTATTTTTGACACAATAATAAACATCCTAAAAATAAAATTAAGAACATAATTCCATATCACAATTATCCTGTAGAGAAGTTTATCTATATATAATAAATCTTAACTTCTAAAAAATGTTAGTATCTGGGCTAAGCCCTAGTCTAGCTCTCAGTTTTCTGAAAACACCTAGAAGGTTTTAGTCATCTTGATAATCAATTTTAAATACTAATGTGTCAGGCATTGGGCTAAGTACTGAGAAAAAAAAAAAAAAACAAAAAAAACCTGAGTAAGATCTAACCATATAACTACGAATTTCACAACCTATAGCAGTAAAAAAAAAAAAAAAAGACACAGTTAAAAAATACAGAGCTAGACTGCCTGGTCTCCAATCAGAGCCATACCACTTACTCTGTGGAGGGAAAAAAACAAAAAAAAAAGAAAACTATTAAAATATGTATTCTAAGTATTCACATAGCTATAATGACATTTCCTTGGCTCTTGTATAAATAAGTCAATAAATCAAAGATAAAAGCTCCCTCTAGAAAACATACAACCTTCATTTGAGGAAGGTCACAGACCTGCAGATTAGAAGTTTAAGACACTGGTACAAATCATCCTATGGGCAGGTCATTTAACTTCTCTCTGTCACTTCTCCATGTGACATTGTGAAGATTAAATGCATAAATATTTATAAGGTACCATATACAAGTTTTAGCTATCATCACTATCATAGTGTTAGTACAGTTATTAATACTATAATCTCTGCTTGTTCAACCATCATTACTATGATATTGTTATTTTATTAGTGTATAGTTGCAATATATGATAGTTACCCTCGTTTTAGGGAAGCAGTACATGTATATAACACATCTTGATCATTTTGATCCCTTTCCCTCCTCTGCCACCTCTCCCCTCCTGATCCTTTTCTCCATCTCTAAAAAGTCTGTCTTCTTGCTAGTATACATATTTTTTAATGTTAAGTTTCTAGTGTACTGCTTCTGGAAAAATCCACACTCTGTACTATTTAGTATAGCATATTACACAGACTCTGGAGGCAGTCTTCCTAGGGATGACTTTCAATCTTGCTGTTTGGTAGCTCTCTCAATCTATGGCAATTTATTTAAATAATGCTGTCTCAGTTTCTTCTTCCATTAAATGGTGATAACTATACCCATTTCTTACATAGGGGGCTAGGAGGTTCAAGTGAGTTATGAAGTACTGACAAAGGGCTCAGGTCAGTACTGATGCCTAGCAAGTACAGCATATATTTGCTATTATTAAGCACAATACTTTTATAACAGTAAATTAATGTTTACTGTTACTTCATTTATGCTTTTTAACCCAATAAACTACCCATTATTGTCTTTAATCATGTCTGTTTTGCATGTCTTTATTTTTTCCTGTCCCTTCCCAAATAAGAGTATGGAGCATCTGTTATCTTCAAGCACATTTATAATGGAATTCTGCATCCTTATGGCTTTCTGTTAGATGCTAGATATCATAAAGCCCCAGGAACGAAAGTGAGGGTCAGAATTAATTGTTCTATGAGCCACTAGATTATATATACTTGTCGATTTATTTGTAATGCTTCCTTGCATAGTTCCTAAACCAGCGAGGGTAAACTTTTTTGAGCTGACAGTAAACCTTTTAGAGCTTTCAATGATAACAAAGAGCCTGCTGCAGCACGCATGCCATAGACTTGCCACTACTGCCCTAAACATTTTCTGTTGATTGCTTATTTTAATGTACACAGCATTCCAAGGTTCTATTTTACTGTTTCACAAATATTAACTCCTTTAACCCTTATAAAGTTAAAGTTCAGAAAGGGAGGAACACTAGACCTTTGAATGCCAGATACCTGATTGGTTTTCCCATCTGATTTTGGTTGGGTGGGAAGCGCCCCACATAGTCCTTACCCCTGAATTAATTAGTCTACAATATCCTAACCTGTTCCCTTGCTGTTCTTTTTCATTTTAGAATTGTAGCTACGCTACGATCAGTCACAGTCACTATGATTTTTATCTGTAAGCACTTTTCCGCTCTGGCTGGAGGTAGGATTTTTGTAATATTAGATAAATATTTTCATTAGCCACAGCTTGGCTGAATGGTATGTGTGTATTGGTGATCTTTTCATTATAGTAATTAAAGATTTTCTTTTTAGAGATTATGGATAATTGGGTTTTAGTATGTAACTGGGGAAAAGGATAGCCGGTTTAACTAGAAAAAGGAGAAATTAAATTAGAGTAGAGACGAGTTGTGAAGTACTGTATACCAGTCTTACTGGAACAGGTTATAAGCAGTACACTCTAGATTACTCAATAAATGTTAGTACCTAGGACTTAAGTTCAGAGTAAGTAGTACTTTTCCCTCTATAACTTGCTTGTCTGTCTGCCTCTGTTATTCTTTTCTCTGCAAAAATGGGTTTTCGAGTATTGTGGAAGGTCCACATTTAGAATTTTTGTGAATTTCAAGTATTCTGTAGAATAGCAATGTTTCCATATTTTATTATTTGTTGGAGCAGTGGTGTGAGCTCAGCAGATGTTCCTAAGCTGTAGCTCACTCTACAGATTCCTAGGATTCTAAAGGACACAGTACAAAAATCAGGTTATGCCCTTACTGGTTCCTTTTATTTAAATCAACTAATAATTTTCTTTAAGAAAAAATTTTGTAAGTAACATTTTATGTAAAAATATTTTGTGGCTCATCATAGATCGCTTGGTTAATAAAAGTTCTCTCTTCTACCTGTGTGAGAAATTTTAAATAGCAGGATGGCAAACTGAATTCATTCTTTATATGAAAACTGTTCTTCAGATAGCACCTGTATGGAAGACTATATGGAGACTGGGAAGACTGTACCATTTCTTCTGAGACCCTGTAGAAGAATACTATACTTGATTATGCATGTCTCCCAAATAGAAAAGCAACTGAGAAACAAATGTCAATAAAGGACCAATTTGCTTATTGTGCCTCTTAAAACATACTAGCTAAAACATACAATTATATACACCATAATTAGATCTGTAAGCATGGATATCAGTGTCTTGCTTAAACACACAGATACACTACAATATTATAAGCTTTGTTGTGCGGGAACAGATTTCTAAGAAAATCTAAATAAAAGTTCAACAAAATGATTAAAAACTGTTACACTAGAAAAACTATGTGCAGTAAAAAAGGACACTGGGCTAGAGATCAAGCAGTGTTATAATCTAAGAATATTAGATATCATATGCATAAAATCTGAAATCCAATACACAAAGTGAACTTTTTAAAACTGTATCAATTTTGCCAAAAGCAACTAAGTAATTTGTTACTTGCCTTGTTCCTTCACCCCAAAGGAAGAAAGCAAGAAAACATATACACACAGATGACTGAAACTGGTAGAAGAGACAGTGAGAGCTGAAAAGAAATACAGTAGACCAAAGTCAGGCAGAAGTTGGTTTTCTTTGCCTCCAGCTCCAGAAATACATCAGGAGTTATAGCATCTTCTGAAGAGAAAGCCAAAGAGAAGAAAGATGATGTGCAGAGATCCTCAGTATGAAGGCTCTGTTATCCTTTACTTTCACAAAATTAAATGTGATCAGCAATAGTAATCACTTATACCAAGCTCTGTAATACTTCTCCAACTTTTTCACTGGCCAAACATAAACTTGCTTCCCCATGAAGCAAGTTTAACCTCATTCTAGTTCTACTCTAGTCAACTTAAATGATGTAAAATAGTCTTCTCTTCAATAAGTAGTGCAAATTTTAGAGGGTTCCATAAGCACATAAGACAAACACAAGTATTAAATAAATTTGCTTAAGAACTAGAGAGATGTTTCAAACTCAAAAATTCATTCCCTATCTCCTCCTTAACAATTTCCTTGTATAACTAATGTTATTCAATAACCGTATCTTGGGCTCAGAATCACTGGGGCTTGTGCTATGAATTCTTCCATTTGATTAGGAAAACTATTCTGTTGCAGCAAAGGAGGAAAGAGGGTTATTTCTCGAAGAATAACAAGTCATTGCAATAATCAGTACATACTTTCTGTCACACCTACCTTCTCACCACTGGAGTAGAAGAAATAACGTAATCGGACTATGTTACAGTGATCTAGCTTCCTCATGATCTGGAGCTCTCGGTTCTGAAAAGGAAGCACATGAAAATATTTTTTAAGGATAACAGCTATTAATCATAATAGCTAAGATGATGCTAAAATAATATTACACAGTAAAAACAGCAAGGTCTGGGCATGCCACATAAAAGTACGGTCTACAGACCAGTTCTTATCTGCAGAACTACTTGCTGCTGCTCCATGAATTGTATGTTTCTGTGCAGCACTAAGATAAACACAGAAATCAAGTGTTTATAATCTTTCACATCAATTTGGCAAAACCTTTAAACTTATGACGAGGATAGTAACTAGGACCTGTATTCTGTATTTTTGTTAAATTTTGCTTTTCTAGTAGTTCATACTGTATTTTACATGTATGTCAGTCTGATGAACCAGAAATTATAAAAACTGGTATTTTACCGCAGTAGCATGTGAAGGACTAGTGTATAGTTTGGAAGAAATATCTGAAATGAACTGTTACTAGTGTAATTTTTATACCTGTAATAGTAATTTTTAAAAACCAAACAACAAACAAGTGAGTCTGGGGTCATTTACTTTCCAAGACACAGTGAAAAAACTAGGAGTTAACTACATGAAATGGGCTGACTTGGTAAGTGTTAGAAAAAGTTAAAAAATAGCACACTTAAAGCGGCATAGTCCCAAAAGATCTATAGATCACAAAAACACTCTCCTTTACAAAGCTGTAAAATTAGGCTCATTCTTCCTGAAAATAAAACACTAAGTACTAGGATAACTGCTTAGTACCATATTATTTTGAAATTCTTTATGAATTTCTATAGAATCTGTATATATTCCAATAATATACTAGGCTGTCAGAAATACCAAAATATCATCTAGTGGCCAGAAAAAAATTTTTAGTTGATACAATGATTCAAAGAGCTATAAACCATGAAGAATATACCTGGGAATTAGGCAAGAACATGGTGCTACAATTAGAACTAAGAGGCAAAAAAAGGGGGAGGCGAGATTGCATAGGAGCCCAGGCTATTTTAGAGTAGGGTGGCCTCTGGTTTTTAGATTACAGGGGCAGAAATAAGTGACTGTTCCTTTAAACTTACCTTCAGAGATGGACTCATGTATACAGAGATATTTTAAATTGTTTTATAAAATATCAAGCTGTCATTCTATTGTTATAAAATGTGTAACTGAAACAAAACCAAAATTACTGTACACTTCAATTGCTTTAATAAAGACATTGACTGATGGCAGACTCAAGTTTTGATTGGAAAGGAAGACAGAGAAAACACTGTCAATTTCAAAACTGTCAATTTCCATTCCATTACAAATTGCAGCTGTTTCTGGATGTGTTTCTATACTTTAGCAATTCACATTCTGGTAGCTAACTTGGCAAGAGAGCTAAGAGAGCTGCCAATAAGCCAAGACTCATCCCTCCAACGATATACAGCTACAACTATGTTAAATTGAACAAGTTTTTCAGAATCATTAACCAAGGTAATGGGGAGCTATTAAACTGCTAAATAACAGATGTAGAAGACTACATACTACCTTCAGTCAAAAAGATGCCCAAGAGAGGACCTAAATATTCATGTACTCTTACTTCTGTTTATATATTCTACTCATTTAGAAAAGACACTGAAGTTTCCACATTTTAAAATTCCCTAGGCCAGATGATGCTATCATTCCCCTATACCACTCAACTCAGGACGATAGTTTTACCAGGATTATCATAAAAACCAGAAATTTTGCTTTTTGGGGGTCGGGGGGGCCTACCACCTTTTAGAAGAGAAAGCAAAATCCATGCCCAATGGTACTGGCAGTAAAAATAGCAAATCTGATGGGAAACAAAGGGGTTAAAGCTCCCATATCTGCTGTTCTGAGGCGGCAGTACAGCTTGAGAAAAACGAGAGAGGCAGGCCATCCAGAAAGTTAACAGGCAAATCCTAGAAAAGAGAGAGGGGTAAGGGGCAAAATAAACTCCCTACTTATCCCTGGCTGCCTGAGAGCCTATACACACATGCAGGTGAGACTTTAGAAAGCCACAGAGAAAATAAAAGCAGGGCCTACTTGAAAACTGTCTGAATTTTGATGTATTTTCTAAATACATATAGAATAATCTACAAAAATAATGAAAGCCTTAAAAACTCAATGTTTGGATACAGTCTTTAACCAAGAACTGTGCAGCCATTAACCCAGTGGTGGTGAATCTGCGTAATGGGCCATAGCAGGCTATTTGCTATCATTGAGAGCTCTATGAGGCTGCCCGTAACTGCACTAAGATGTACATACCAAAGGCACAATGAGCCAGGTTAAAATGAAAGAAGCAAAAATTTAACACAGAATTCAAGAGCCTCTAACTGTTGTGGAAAAAGAATCTATAGATTACTATCAGGCAACTCACAAAAACAATAAAAAAGGCTATTGCAACTGTCTTGACAAGATTCTTAAAAATCATAATCTAAGTGGCTATGTTATGTAAAATGCTATACCAAATAATTTGTGAAACAGCAAAAGTTGACCTACAACAGGAAAAACTGATCTATATAGAGGTGAGAAAAAAGGTAATCAATGCACATTGACTGGGCAGATATAGCTATTGGTTCTAGTACAGAATACAAAGCAGCAATCATTTTTTAGTTCAAAGAATTACAAGTACATTATTTAAAAAATTAAAATATAATAATTTTACAAAAAATAGGAAATATTAATGAAGAATTATTAAGATTTTTTTCTTTTTGTGGGGCTCAGGATTGAACCCAGAGCCTTTATCTGCACTGAGTTACATCCTCAGCCTGTTTTTATTTTTTAATTTTGAGATAATAGTCTCACTGCACAGGTTGGACTTGAACTTATAATCATCCTGCCTTCCATTTTTAAAGCAAGCAAATAACCAGGAACTGCGAAGTATAGTAACAAAACTGAAAAATTCACTATGGGCTCAAGAAATTATTTGAGATAACATTAAAAAAAAATCAATGAATTTGAAAATAGGGGAATAGAAATTACCCAATAGAGAGAAAACTGCCAAAGAAATGGATAAAGACTCAAAAACCTGTGACACAGTATCACATATTGCAATGTATATGTAAATGAGTACAGTATCAGAAAGATAAAAAAGAGGGGAAAAAGCGTTTGAAGAAACAATGCCTAAGAATTCCTGAAATCAGATGAAAAATATCAGTCTAACTATAAAGCCCAATAAGCCTTGTATGATTAACAGAGATCTACACGTAGGCACATTACATTCAAATAATCTGAAGTCAGAAAGAAAAAGCTATAAAAGCAGTAGCATAGAAATGGCTTACCACATAAAAGGTGAAACCAACACAATACTTGATTAATTATCAGAAAAAAGTTAGAAGAAAGTAAAAACTAAAATAAAACTGTACAAATCAGTGGTAATAGGAAAAACAAAGTAAAAAACCTGTCAATCAAGAATATTTATAACAGAACTATTTCTCAAACATGAAAAAAAGAATATTTACAAGAGGGAGACGTATTTAAAAAAAAAAAAAAAACCAAAAAACTAGAATAAGTCCCTCAAACTGAAATTAAAGGACATCAGATGTCAATATGAACCTTCAGAGAGAAATGAAGGACACCAGAAATGCTATCTGAAAAAAATTTATGAAGTACGAATTTTTAATTTGCATCCTTTAATTTCATCAGAAGACATTAAAATTTATACAAAATGATGGTATATTGTTATGCCTATAAATGCAATATATATGATAATAAGAGCACAAAGGAAGGGGGAGAAAATGAAGCCACATTTGAGCAAAGGTGCTATATTTTACTGGGATTAAATCAGTATTAACCTGAAGTAGACTGTGATGAATTGAAATGCAAATTGTAATTCCTAGAGCAACTACAAAGAAAACAGCTGTGTGGGCTGTGTGTATGTGTGCATGTGTTTAAAACGTAAATTCAGTATCGACCTAAAATGATATATATATTAAACAAAAGAAAGCAGTAAAGGAGAAAAGAGGGAGGAAAACCAATATGAAACATGTAAAAAACAAATGGCAATACTGCACCAGTTACTCCAACCGCTTCAAATTTCATAAATGTGAAATAACTACAATCAAAAAACAAAAATTGTCAAGCTAGATTAAAAACAAAACCTTCAACTATACTCTATTTATAGGAGATACACTTTATCTTTTAGACTGAAAGTCACAGGTAGCTTGGAAGTAAAATAGGAAAAGATAAGCAAACAATAACCCCAAACAGTGCAACGGGGGCACTGTATTATTGGGGGCAAGAGGAGGGCTGAGGAAGCCCTAAGCAGACAACCAGATGGGCAGTGAGAGCTAGAGGGATAAATTAGCTCATAATCTGATTTTTCCATACCAATTTAATTTTATTTTCTATTTAATAAAAAATGTGAACTCTACATTATACACCTAGATGTGATTTCTTCCTCTTGAGTGAAAATGCTGTTCATTCTGAATTCTAAACCACTGGTCAGTTACTATGACTGGAATGTCTTGATCCTCCCACCACCTACATACATTTTACCCATTCTTAAATTGCTACTTAACTCCCACTTCCTTAATCAGGCCATCCTCAGCTGCTCCAACGCACACTAATCTTTTCTGAGGCACTGAGAAGTATTTTTTAATTTATTACATACCCTAAGAGTGCTAAAAATCAAATATTACATTATAGGCACACAAAGATACACACCTTGCCTAATCAACTTATTACAAGTTTAAGAGCAAAAGCTGTATTTTTAAATATTACAAAGTGCTCAAAGCAAGTCACTTTGTCTTGGGCAACATAATTTCTGTTTCTGCAATTGCTTCTATCTTCCAACTTGCTATAGACAGTACACATCCCAGCCAATCAGCATAGAGGGAAGGAGAATGTAGCAGAACAGAACTTCATGTACAGTTAGACTTTTTCAAGAAACTTGACATAGAGAAGATAAAGGAATACATTTCATTCTTAACTTACTTAAAAAACAAAATGACTACCAAGATGGAATAAAATGCATAACCAGTAAGAAAATATGGAAGTCACATTTAAAAGAAAACTTATCCTTTTAT